TCTTTAATATATTATGAGTTGATATTAAGTTATCTTTATTATTTTATTTTCAAACTAATGGACAAATAAAATGTGTAAAAAAAATATTAAATTAATATTTAAAATATACAATCAACTACCACTATGTTAATTGGATAATTTTTTTGTTATGAATTAAGTTTTTATATAATAATATAAATCATTCTTCTATTTAAAAAACTTTTTATTTTACTAATTTTGAACACTATCTATAATTTAATATATTTTATTTATGAAAAGTTAAAAATCTAGTAGCATAGGATTTAGCAAGCAAAGTGAAAGTGCTTTATATAACAATAAAGTCATAATTAAAGGAGATTTATAAATGAAAAATAACTAATGTGGGTATTCTTAGAAAAGAAAAGAAAAGAAAATTATAAGTTGGTAATAATGTATGATTACATTGTTATAATACTTAGACTAATTGTCTTTGTCATAAGTTAGATTATTAAATAATAAATTTATCTCTTATTAAAAAAATTAATTAATTAATTTACATATCATTTTTAATTCTTAAAATCAATAAATATCTATTATATATTCTACATATTTTTTATTGAATCTTATATAACAATTAATATAATAAGCAGAAAGAAATCACTGTGACCATATATTAAAATAGATAATAACTAAAAATTTGAAGTAGAAGAAGTTTTAAATCCAAGGAAACATAAAAAAATTAAAATAAAAATAGAATATCTTATATATTGGTGTGGATATCATAATAGTAAATACACATGAGAGCCATGTAAAAATCTAATAAATTTGTAAAATCTTGTTTCTATTTTTTAACAACATCCATTAAAAATTAAGCATTAATCTTTGACAATAAGATAGTTTAAATCAAGGAGAAATAATTTCAAGAATCAACTTATAGAACTTATTTGCAAATATAAAGAATCATCAACCAACAAATCATCTTTATAGTTTTTATTTGAAAAATTATTAGATAAAATACTTTAATTGTTTGATCTAAATGACATTAAAATTATAATGAATAGTCTTAAAAAGGAGATGTTTTTTTTAAAATAAATGGTGAGATACAATATTTTTGATACCACAATCTTCAAAGAGACTTTTAATACTTAGTGATATTGTTAGAAGTAGATACTACATGAGATGGAATGCAAAATATATTGTTTGAATATAGCTATAAAAGACTTAATGATAATCAAGTAATTATATAGTCTTTTTTTTATATTATATATTTCTAATGATTAAAGAGAAATTTCAACTACCATTTTGCAAAACAAAGATTTAAACTTGTTGCTAACACCATTTGACAAATCTTCGACTTTATCAAATTATAAAGCAATGATACAAATTATTGCCTAAAAAATGGTAGAATATAATAAATATCCATATTCACTAGTATATCTACTTAGATAAGTAGAACTATGCAAAAGTAAGTAGAAATAGGTTAAAATCTTGATATCTTATCAAAGAATGTTTTAGAAGCTCTAAAGACTTTATTTATATTTTTAACTAATTAGTGGTTTAAGAATTTGGCTAAGAAGTTGCCAACATCTAACATATTTAGCCATTTGTATTATAAGTTGGTCATGAGGCACATATATTGGAAACTTTCTTTACAAATCAAACATGTGTTTTGAAAGTTAGACACATATTATATAGTCTATGAACATAATAAATAGACCACTAGTTGATTGTTAATATTTTATTATTTTTAATTATATAATTATTCAATCATAATTAAATCAATAAAGATGTCATAAATAAGCTAGAAATAAATTAGTAATAAGTTAGGTATAAATTATATTCAATCTTACTTGCTATACTTCTAATCTTCATAAGTAATACAAGCTCTCATGGATTAAGACATGTGAGTAATTAATCCTTACTTGAGAATGTGTTTTAAACACAATAGTGAAGTTAGTTTGGCCTTAAAAGTATTTTTAGAGCTCATTTAATAGATATCAGCCTTAATCTTTTATTTTCACCATTGGATTGATAAGAGCTGCAAATCTTAATTTGGGCTCTTTGGAATTCAAGAGTGAATATGTGGCCACCATCTTTAGGCCTTAAGACAAGAATATAAGAGGTTTAATGGACACATTTGGTCAAGACCTCTTCTTGATGGACAAATTCACATTAATTTTTTAATAGGTTTTGAGAGTAGATTTAGTTTTTTTGTCAGATTTATCTTTTAAGTTTATGAATCAATTCTAAAAGATATAGGTAAAAATTATTTTCTTTTGTGTTTCTTCATACATAAAAAATAAAAAAACAAAACAAAACAAATTAAAAACAAATTTTAGACAAGAAAGAATTCTCTAGTTTAATAAAAGGCAGTATATTTCTTTTATTATTTTAGAGCTAAATTTTGAAAAGCTATGTTTTATTGCTCACAAGCTGAAAAGAAATAAGATTTATTAGATTAGAAAGCTATTTTAGTTTGAATTCTAAAAAGCTAAGAACTAATCACATTGAAGCCAAGACATTGTAGGATTATGATTTTTATTGTAGAAAATTTGTTGCTTTAAAATTCAAGTAGCCAAAAGAAGGCACAACTTTAGAGAACAAGATCACAAGAATCAAGACAATCCAAAAGCTTGGTTATTAGAAGAAAATATAATTTAAAGCAAAGATTAAAATATGCTTAAGTTTATTGAAGAAAAATCAAAAACATAAAGCCCTGGAACTCAATTTTGTATAAGAAGGTATGTTGCCTTGCTAAATTAGAGCAATAATTTTAAAAGATAATATTTCAAGCATATAATTAAACCTAAAATAAAAATTTAAAACTTTGATGTATTGTAAGGTCTTATTTCTAACAAGACTTGTTTGGTTAATTTGTAGCTTACAATCAATTGTGGTATGTTTATTTTTGGGGATAGATATATCAATAAATTTAGAAGTACCAAACTCCTTTGCTTCTTATTTAGATAAAATTCTCATTTCATTATTCAATTCCTATCAATGAATCTTAGATGGAAGTTTATGAAGTATATAGTTGTTAATTTTGAAGAATAGTTAAATTAAATAATGAAGTTTTTAGATGGAAGTAATACTTTAATTTTAAAAAAATAAAAATAAAATAAAAAATAGATATAATATATTATTTGGATGAAAAATTGGGATGATATCCATTATATAAATTGGATGAATGTTAATTACATAGATGTATGAATTTTAATTAGTTATTATCTTAATAACTTAAATTATACTACAATGTATAGTAATAAATTTAGATTCATTAATTTGTATTTATTATTGTATGAGAATTTGAAGACATCTAATTAGATGCACTAAATTCTTCTCACATAACCTATAAGACATTGCTATGTAGTTTTTTAGTTGATAGTATATACAGAGGCAAGAACAAGGCCTTCTTCATTCTTGTCAAAGCCTTTTTTCTATTCCATCTTAATTCAAGACTTCCTAGGCTTTTTACATTTGGCAAAAGTCATTCTAGTTTCAATTCTATATCTATCTTTTAGTCATCTATTTTTTCTTTTTTGAGTGAATTTGTTGTTATTCATATCTTTGACATCTATTATATTTATATTATATTATTAATAAATTTTCTACTATATCACTATATCATTTTTTTATTTTTTATATAAAACAAGGTTCCTACAAATAGAAGCAACTTTGTTTCTTCCATTGTTGTTTCTATTGTGTGATTTGTGACCTAATTAATACCTTGTGGATCTTGTATAGTTAGTTTTGATTTAACATTTTAAAAGCCATTTAAAGAAGTTTCCACTTTAGAATTGCAATATCTTGTTTCAATTAATCAAACCTTGAACCAATATTCTAAGAAGATGAAATATTTAAGTTATTTTTTATGGTATAATAGTACATTACTTTGATGAACTTATTGAAGTATTTCAGAATAATATAATATAAGATTTCTATTATAAGAAATAAGTCTACCTATCCATCTCAACATTATAAAAAATAAAGGATATATTTAAGATTGTTTGAATTTTTTGTATAATGTGCAACATATGTGTGTCGGTTCTTACAAGTTCATGTAATTACATAGGCTTTAATATGACTCCAACATGTAAAAAAGTAAAAGATAATATTATTATATGTAATTTGATATATTTTTTTAATCCTTGCAGAGCTTTAAATTAAGTGTTCTTTAACTTCAAACTAAAGTTTTGTTTGTACCAACCTAAAGTTGTGTTGAATTGTTTGTTGGCTATTAAATTAAAATTAGATGTGCAATCTTTTAGTTATTTAGAAGTTACAAATGCATAGAATTGGAACTCTCTTTATAAAGTTTTCAATTGCATACTTAGTAATAAGACAATATAATTTGTCTTTGCTTTGGTCTCTATTGTTGTTACTTTGTTTACTACATTTGCATTTACACAATAGGAAGTTATTTTATTATAACTTACATGTGGATTATAATTAATTGTTATCATGTTTATTTTTTATCTCAATTTTTCTTGCAAAGAATGGTAGAATTCAGGCACAATTTAGTATTTCGTAGGTGACAATTGATGTAAAAAGAATTGTCTTTTCCATTTTCAATTTGGTAGTATCGTTCATTCATTCCATTGTGAATTTTTCAACACCTTTTAGAAATGGTCAAGTTCGTGAACCTTTCCATATTCTCTAAGTGTCATCCATTTCATACAGGATGAAATCTCATAAGTGCAAGCAACCACTATAAGCACTCTTCAGTTTCCTTACAGGACTGCTCTTATGGTAATTAGACATGCACAAATGCCTCAAATCATGGTGGTTGTCTCATATGTGACATAGGATTGGCAACTTCACGATCTAGAGTGGACAAAAGTGGTTCATTAAACATGACAGATAAAGTTAGACTGACGATTTACAAGAACAACGCAGTTACTTGAATAGATCGATTTAAAATGGGGCTGGGTTTTTAGCAAAGGAAACATATCGTGTACTCACAATGCATAACACATTTAGTTACAATACGTTACTTCGGATTTGGACGACCATGTGTGCAAGCAAAATCAGGCTACCGCAGATTGTTGGATTGAACTAGTTCCAGTGAATAAAATATTAGAAACAAGGGACACTTCAATGCCCCTACAAAGTACATGAGTATGTAGAAGACACTACCGGAAAGGGCTGTAAGTGATGATCATCAAAACTGGATCTCGTAGGGTACAAGTACAGAATGTTTACCAACCTCTGGCATCAAGATGACACCATTCCTCAAGGATTGAGCTGAAAGCAGCAACACCACTCCTTGCGATGTTGCAGAGGTTGCAACCAGCTGCCGTGCTTCAGAATCACTTAACATCCTAATAAGGATCCATTCAACGGCGGATTTATCAGATGTCGATAACCGAAATTGCAAGAAGAGAATTAGAGCAGTAATCATTCTGCGAGGTGAACTACATTGAACTGGCTTGATTGAAAAGTTCCGTGTTGTGGTTCCCACAGGGTCTGCCAGAGTGGCTTAGTTAATGGTGGAGAGGGGCGCTCGAGATTCACGGAAGGATGCTTCCACTGATAGGAATGTTTTACTAAGTCCATCGGAACCGCCGATAACACTCTTCGTTCGGAACTCATCAAGCAGACTTAGAAGGGATGGAGTGCACAAAGCGTCAATTGAAGACTGCGTTGGCACTTCAATAGGTCTTCTCCTGGGAGTTGAACATGTAGGTTGCTCCTCCTGCATCACAGAGAGTTCCATTTACCAAATCTGAGCAAAGTGAACTATAATGTAATAGAGACTCCCCGAACCAAGTGAACAGCAGTACCAGGTCGAACTAAATGGAGAAAAAGAGGCAACAAAGCCAAAGCAGTAGCATACCAAGTACTCCTCTTTCAGAACGTGATCGGCGTGCTTTTGGACGGCAGACACACTTGAGCTATGGCCGCTCTCTAGTTCTGCAGCTGCTGCAACTTGGGATGCCATCGTTGACTGCATTCTTGCAGCTGCTTCAGCCTCTCCAGCACAGGTTTCTGAGAATAATCAGAAGGAAACTGTACAATTAGTCACTAGATCTCTAATTAATTCTAATTAAAACGGTTCTATGTCCAAGTATCAAATTTGGTGGAATGCTGCTATCCTTCTGATTAGCTTGGGAATGAGATAACTATTTAACATAATCCTCAGAGAAGATAACTCAAATTCATGGCATGCGGGAATACCGTTTACAAAAGTAACTGTGTAATTGTTCTCAGTCTCGATCTCCATCAGCGCAGCATCCTCCTGTCCTTGAATGTTGACCAAAAGATTCGCGTTCGCTTGTAAGCCCTCCCTAAAAAGTGAAAAGGAACTCAAGTTCGTAAGAAAATTAATTATCCATATTCAAGAACACGTTGAAGGAACTGAAACCTCCACCCCATAAGTACAGGAGTGTAGAAGGTGCTGACCCAATAATAGAGTTGACGGCCGCAGTGTGAGAATTCTGTAGCTCCATGATTTCCTTGTGGGTGGATTCCCATTTCCGACCAGAAGTTGAAGTATGGTCGGTACTGTAACGAAATACAAAGTCAGACCAAGAGACATCTGAATTGGAGAAAATAAATTTTCAGAATAAGAAAACCTCTACACCCGCATCACAAGACATGGAGAAGTTAATTACCACGACTGGAGAGTCTCCTCCATCCGAGAAACCTTGGTGTTTAACAAAGCTGCATCTTCAATTGAAGATGAGTCTGCAGTGGCGATGTAGGTAGCGAGGTGTCCGTTTGCAGAAACAGCTTCTTGCTGAATCTTTTCAAGCCCTTGTTGCACCACAGTCGCGTCTTGATTTGCCTTGTCCCTAAGCTTCTTGACAGACGTTTGAATCTGTAAAACCGTTATATCAACAATTAGAAAATGTAGTCATAGAAAAGACACAGGTGACCAATGTATATATACCCCAAGCGCGCTTGCGTGCAGACTGGCTTGGTTCAAATGGCCATATAGCCCCAGCACCCTTTCCAGCGTATCAAATGAAACGCAAAAGTCGTTACTTACAAGATTGGTCCGAGTTGACAGCGAACTGGCCAACATTGCTGTGATCTTTTCAAGGAGCTGGGCATGATCTTTCCGGGCATGTTCCTGAACACAAGCGAGTATTACGTCAACGTAAGTGGATGCAACCTTTTAAATAAACCCAACGCAGTTTGCAGAAGTGATCCTCAAATCTCTAAAGCAATGGATGCATTTCACAAGTGTCAGCTGTTGAAGATATATAGATTGAAAGCGTTGGATAGCAATTCCACTTCAAACTAACCAGCAATAATACATATCAGGAACGAACAAACCTCGTACGCATCTGCAAGCTGGATGAGTTCGTGGTCGTGCACGGAGCTAGTCGAGTTCACATGCTCTCGGAAGTTAGCAGCGTCGGTCTCCATGGTTGACAAGGAGGTTGTCACTACCTGAGTGATATCGCGTGCTGCTTCCAGGCTCCTTCGCGCTGCCTGAGACAGGAAATAGATTTCAGAAAATCGCGATATAAATAAATGATAAGTAAAACAATAAAATAAATTGACTTCTTTTTAAAAAGGAAGTGCCACGAGCAAAGAGAGTAGAACCAAGGACTGCGGGATACTTACTTCACGTTGTTGTTGGGCAAAACTAGCTACTTCTTGACCTTGAGTAGCGATATTCTCTTGTAATTCATTAAGCACACTCTGTGCATCTGCTATGGCGCTTACCAAAAGCTGTTGAGATCACGAAGAGGAATGGTCAATCAGTAGGATGCTAGAACTACACACGGTTCACAATTATCACTGATTCCTCTCGCAGTCACCTCCAGTATCAACTTTACGATTAACATACCTGTTCAAGGGCTGCTGGATATGCCGTCACGGTGGAATCGAGGGTCTTGAATGTGGAGGTCGATACAGTCTCATGTGCATGCACAGTCACGTGGACTGAATGCAACTGGGTTATATACAGGTCCTTCAATCCCTGGAGTTTCCTCTTAAGCTCCTCCACAGACTGCAGTTAAAAGTGAATCAATAATCGCGATTACGACCATAAAGCGGGCTTGATACATCATATTTGAGAAGTGAGAGGATGATGTGGTTCTGGAGAGAGTACCTTCTCTTTGAAGTTCAGGAAAGCTTGGAGTTGCTCTTCTAAAGTCCGGAATTGCTGCTGTTGAGTACCCACTCCTGATACCACTAGAGCACGGAGTTGCTCCATTTGTTCTTTCAGACCAGTTTGAAAAGCGTCTACCAATTTTAAGTTTTTGATCTCCATATTCTCTTTTCTCTCTGCTCGACATGAAAAAAACACAAAAATTAGTGATACATCATTTCCCAACACAAAACAGCTATCTAATTCAAGGACATGTGAACAAAGTTTGCCCTGTGGATCACAAATCCAATTCAGTACAAATAAGACTGTACCGATCTTTGCGAATAATCCTGCAACATCCTGGACTGTTGCCTCCAGCTCCTTTCTCAACTCAGTTGCCTGGCTGACAAGTGCCTTTTCTGTAAGGAAACAAATGCATTAGTGATGCGTACTGCCCGGTTCCGCTTGACGCAATCACGAATGCTTGGGCTAGGAGAGAAAATCCAAGGTTTCCTAAGTTAGGACCAGGGGTTCTAACGCGTGTTCCTAAATTAGAACGAATGAGTCTGGAAGACCAGCTGCCACTCTATATCTAAAGGAGGTGCTGACCTGCTTCTTTATGATTCGCAATTACGAAATCATGCTCTCTTATTGAAATATTGGCTTGCTTCAAGTTCTCTGTTGTTTCGTTCAAATGGTCTCGAGTGCGATCGAGGGATTCCTGCGTAGACAATGTACGAAATGTCAAACACAGCTCAGAAATGAGCAATTATCCTGCTGTAATGGAAGGCCGGAATGACGGAATATCTCACCTGTGTGAGATTTAGCTTGGCGAGGAGATCGGCATACTGCTGCTGTTGAATTTCACTCGACTTCTCTAAATCTTCAATTTGCTGCATCAGCCATAATAAAGCTCATGAGACTACTTGGATTGGTAGTACGACCGCAGAAAACCAACAGAGTTCCAAGGGTCAATAATACCTTATCTTTGACCTCCAAATCAATTTCCATGCGTTCTATCCTGTCCACCATGGCCTGCAAGAACATGGATTTTACCCAACCCTAAGCTTGAGAGATGTAGAAAAGGTGATACATTCGCATACTGAAGCTTAGCAGTGAAGTCCTGACGTCTTCCGGAAAGAAGCACGAGGAAAGACAAACCTTTTTCTCAGCTTCCTCTTCGAAGTAACGATCACGCGGAATGTAAATGCCATTTCTTTCACGGGCAGAGTAGACCTCTGAAACAGAAGGGTGGTGTGCGTCAGAAAAGATAAACTCTACTTAGCATGCATTTCGAGGAGTACTTCTGCATTTGTATGACATGATCTTGCGAATGGATTCAGGGAAAGCATTTGACCTGATTTGAGCCTCTCTATCTCGCTGTAAAGATCTCTAATGTGTGCGGTTTTCAACGTTTTTTGGTTCACCTGAAAAAGTTAATACAAAAAATTAGACAATCTTCCACACCTACGAACTTTGAAAACATTGAAAACATGGTTGACAAAAGAGACCAACCTCAGGCTTGTTCTTGATGTTTTTGGCACGATATGCATAATCCAATGTACTCAGTGTCTCTTCGAGACAAGGAACTGAGGGCGAGACGGTGGCAATTATACACGTTTTTGTCTTTCCTCCCAAGGAATCCCTTAACAATCTTGTCAGCTTACTATCTCTGTGACATTAAAGAAGAGTGAATTGTGAGGAACAGCCATCACGAAAGCTCATCCTTCATTCTAGAGGCATAAATGTTTTTCCCAATTAAGAATGCTCTACCTGTAAGGGATGTGACCCAAGTGCTCGACCAGAGCTGTTATCACACGTCCAAGCGTAAGTAGACTTTTATTGATTTCTCCAGTTTCCCGCGCGCGCATCTGGAAGTTATGTGGTAGTTAGAGATTGTTCAAAAAGATTGGTTTTCAAGAGATTGAGTTCAAAAGTTCAAAAGAATTCTTGCTTACATCTTTAGCGCCAGACCGAGAGATGTTTTCAGATCCGGCCAAATCCACTAAATTCAACTTCCCACACTTCATCAGTTCCTCGCCCTCGGGGGTGGTTTCCTTGACGTGTATGGTAATGGAAAAGATGGTATGAGATCGACTGCAAATGATTCGAAACCCGATTAGGCCATTGAGTTCGTGCTGCGGGGTTAGTAACGCTCGAGAAGTACATGACAGTGTCTTAGCTTAGGCACTGTAATTTCCGGTGAGAAAGTTTACATCAAATTTCCAACCTCGAAGATGTTCACACCAGAACACACAATCTTAAAATTTGAAGCCGACAGGTATTGCCTAAGTGGGTAGTGAACATATACACGCACCTGGATTGTTTGTTCAACAATGTATCCGCAGTTTGGCGTCTGGCCGAGCCCCTATCAAGCAGAGTGTAAATGTGACTGGCACTGGTCACGATTTCCTCCTCTAAACCCCTGACGAGAACACCACCTTTTCCATCCTCCATCAGTTGCAGATGTTTCTTGACTTTCTCATCGATAACCACTTTCGAATACTCTTCAGGTGCTAATAGATCAGTAAGCTCTTCGTTATAGAGCTCAAGATAGGTGACCTTCACACTGTACTCTTGTTCGTCTTTATCAAGTGTCTCGAAAATTTGTTGGATAGCACGAGGAATGACACCCGCATCGGGAGGAAGTTCTCCGTTCTGCAAAGAAATTGTAAATGATGATTCCTATGTTTCGACCATTCAACGACCAGTAAATTAGCTGAGTGACAACGCCTTTATGAAACTGAGCAACATATAAACGTTCAGGGGTACGTGAGGCTTACTACCTTCGACTTCATTCCTGACCCTTCCATAGTGAAGGTCTTTCCGGTCCCGGTCTGCCCATATGCAAAAATAGTGCAGTTGTAGCCATCCAAAACCTCGTTGACGATAGGAACGATGGATTCATCATACAATTCAATTTGCTTACACTGGGGTCCAAATACCTGAGTGTAATGCAACAAGGATTAATGAATGCGAGAAAACGGACGTTAGTCAAAGAAAATCAATACTTACACTGAGAGTGGAATAGCAGTGAGCTATTATAAATGTGAAATAGTAACAACAATAATGGTAATAATATTGGCAAAGAAAATATAATTAACGGCATACACCTCTGAAAGTGCTCAATCAATTAATTATGACACAAACATTCACATTTTAGCTGTAGTAGGGAGCACCAGATACGAGAAAGTGGGGAAGGTAATACAAGAGCAACACAGGGACATGAAGACAAGACTAAGGGACGTGATATAGTATGTACAGTTCGAAATGAAACTAGAGTCATACGTCCCTAAATTCAGGCTTGCTGTCGCATTCTGGTTTTAAATAGATATGTGAAAGTAATGAAGAATTGGGAGCACAATTGACGCGTTAATCACCGGAATTTGACTAGCGAAAAGAACATACATTCAATACGATGGGCATTGGTGCCACACTTCCGAGACCGTGCTAGATCCTAACAACTGCCACCAGTTTAAAAGCTCAAATACGCAGACTTGTACTTCGCGTATCAACTGATAAGACATCCTTTCAAGAACAGAATTGTCGTGAAAGTTACTGGTTGTCAACGGACCTTATCAAAAGTAAATGTTCGGTCAATTTGTTTGTGGGCTGAGCATTGAAATGCCGTAACTTCTCGACGCTGTTCGTTGCAAGAAATGACTTGAGGAGATTTAGCTTTCTTCTCATCGTCGCTTAAGGGCCTGTAAAAAGACAGAGTCAAATAGTTTTAAATTTATTGCAAAATCCGGAAACCATAATTTCAATCACAGTACAATTATAATTTACCCTGTACCTGCAACGAACCAGGACTTGGACGTTGACTCCTTTGTCTTTATCCGTTCGTGCACCTACAGCATCAGGCGGAAACCTGGACGCGGTCCGGGCAGTCCGTGGAGAAAACAGAATAGGATCGCGAGCCATCCCGGCGACAGCTCAAACAGCAGAAACTCAGATTTCAAGATTCAGTGAGGCAACAACGTCAGTTGCATCACCAAGAAGACCTCTCGATTCGCAGTGCACTACAATACTTTACCTCTTGATACGAATTGGTAAAGTATGCACAGAGGAACGCATCAACTCGAAATGGGCAAAATATGCTGCGAAGAGCGTGTTGCCCAAATGAAGTCGACAGGTACAACAGATGAGAGTCTCCAAAACACAATTTCGAGCAGCGACTGTAGGAGCGTCCAGAGAGACGCAGTGTAGATTAAGGCGGCAATTTAATCACCCCGAAGCCGAAACAAGACCCATGACACAAAGAGACGGACCGCTAAACCCGAAAAAAATTCCTGTTACACAACTCTTACTGAACCTTTCCAGAAAACCGCTCTCGAGCAGGGCATCATGAGCGATCCTTCAGGTTCCAGCCGAATCACAGTAACAGACGAGCGACGTGCACCGCATTTGACTGCGCCCAAATCCTCCACAGTGACACCAACAAAGACAGGAACTAGACAGAAACTCTCCGTGGAAACTGGTCCACATTCAGGGAACGATGCTGAATCGGGGAAAAAACTAACAAGCAAGCATCCAGTTTCTTTCAGAGGGATCCACCGTAGTCTCCCCCCACCGCTCCCGCTTCGTGGCCTTCGAAGCAACACGAAACTAAGGTACCCAAGGCGTCAAGCGAGCACGATGCTCGACAGAATGGAGCAAGAATGGACAGAGAGGGTGAGGGATGGGGAGGTAAGTCACAAGATCGAGAAGGAGGTGAGAGACGGAATAAGGACAGCGAGGATTGGCGAGTGGGAAGAAGCTGAAGGTGGGGGGCGGGGACGCAGTTCCGAGAGCTGCTGACAATCGAACCTACCCTTCAATTTTCACCTTTCAAACCCCTTCATTCCCGCTGACCCGGACCACCACCACCATCGACCTGCCCGCTCACACCCCAACTTCCATCAACCAAACACACACTTCCACCTCCCCCCGACCCGTGCTTCCATCCAACCATCCACCCCGCGCCGTGCATCTGCCGTCCGTAATCCCCGTACCCGCCCCCACCCCGCCAATTCCCACGTCAACACTTCCACCTCGTTTCCACTTCGGTACTGGTTATCGTTCCCGGAGCTTGAAGGCGTTCAAATGTGCGTTCAAACCGTTGAATGAGATTCCACTTCCTGCCGGTTATAGGGTTACACTCCCAACACCTTCTACATACATGTTGGTCAGCTACTGTAGTGTTTTGGTTTTTTACATTCTTAGATTATTTTTATTTCTTTCTCCTTTAGAATGTTGGGGTGTGTGTGTGTGAGTTTGTGCGTTTGGTCGAGAGGATGGATGACCGTTGCGGTGGAGATGCGTATCCCAAATAATGGAAGGTCAATTCGGCTGGCACGTATCCATCCGCAGCAATGCCTCGACAAGGACGTCCCCTCCCCTTCACATGATTGTGGTTTGACGCCAGTACCACGAAGAGGAAGAAGAAGAAAACCATGTCTTACAGAAAGATAAATAGACACATACCCGCCAATAGATACATACTCTTCATTCATCAATGAATTCATTCATTTCTTCTGTCGTTTGGTGTGGATGCATGGAATCCAACTTATCAGTGTTCTGTTTGTCTGGCTCGTGTTTAGTTGGATGGGTGTGGATGACTAGTGGCCGCCTCTTTTGTCCTTTATAAGACGGATGATGTTTGGTTTTGTTTCCAGGGCTTGATGTTGTAGTTTACACGTGGTGGTGTGTTGAACGAGCTGGAGCTTTAGGTTGCGGATTTACACGTGGTTGGTTGGAAACCAATGGGCATTTGTGACACGTGGGTTCCTTTTTATCCCAACTTTTTTGCGTTTTCTACTGAAATTTGTTGTGCATTTTCTGCGTGCGGTGTTAAAAACAAATAAAATACGATTACTTACTTTAACTTTTTTTTATTGGAATTTTATTGGTAAAAGGAGGTGGAACAAAGAATCAACTATAGTGTTCCCCCACTTTTTGGTTTTGCGTGTAACGAAAAATTATGCCTTGTTAACTGTACGGCGTCAACAATAATAAAGAGCAGTTTGAATTATGTTGGTGAAATGGATGGGGACAATTGTGAAGAAGAAAATATACACACATACAAGCATCTATTTGTGCAAATATATATATATACATATATATATATATATATATATGACATTATGTGCAGAATTAATAATACAACAACTTCTGAAGTGAATTTGTTACTATATATTGGTTAGTGTTAATAATACCATTCATATTTTGTTTTGATCAGGACGACTGAAGTTGAAATTACAAAAGTATGTAGTGAATTTTAACGAAATCTCGCTCTCTCTCTCTCTCGATATATATACATATATATATATATATATATATATACACATGCACACTCCTATATCAGACCAAAGATTAAAACTTTGACGGAGGAGGTTTCACATTTGGACTCATCTCTATAATTATCTGTTAGGTTGAAATCTGAAGTCCATAGTCAATTATGCCGTCACTTTCTTACCACCACACTTTATTCATAATAAAATACAGAAATAGCATTTCATTTCATTGTTGGAGTGATATTCAACACTCTCGGTACAAAATTATTCACAAATATATATATATATATATATATATACATGCACACATTCGCACGCACACACATGCACATTCCTCTTTATTTGTCTTGTATTAAATCAATCAATGTCTAATTTTACGTTATTTCTTTAATCTTGTTCTTTCGAACGAATCGATATTCAGCACAGAACAACATTTCAATTACTGTGTACCACAGAGCAAATTCCGCCTCATTTGTGAGACTACTTCAATCTTACTCAAAGTTAACTGGCTGACAAATTAAAGGGATTATTGCAAACTCTGAATGGCCACCTTGGATTCCATACCAAGAATTCCAACTCCGGATAGGCATCCTTCATGATCTAGCACCCAAAAATATATATTTTGTCTTTCCATTAATGATTTAATGATAGAATAGTATTAATTACTCAGGATGTCTTCCGTGGCTAAAGGTAAAAGCGCCCCTAATTTCAAGCCGGCAATAGTAAAAACAACGCATTGTCCGATTCTGGGCATGAAGCCGCTTCGCAAGGCCCATCAACGTCACGAGAAACTCACTAACTCACTCACTAAATCACTAACTGATTAACTAGTTCACTAACTAACTCACCAATTTACTGACTAATAGGATTTGCAAAGTAGAGGCTGGAATCAGTGTCGCAGTCGGACCGCGCTGCCACAAGCAGAAAGGCGACGAGGACGAGGAGGACGACGAAGAAGAGGGTGACGATGGGGTTCGAGCAGGAAATAGAACGCGAGGTTCATGGGTTGGAGGAGGAACTTTTTTGTCTGTGAGATGCTTCAGATGCCAGTAGAGACAAAGCCAACGACCTCGTGAGGAGGAGGAGAAGCAGCACGAGGAGAAGGCGACGACGACGCTCGGTGGTGTAGGGAGACAGCAGCCCCTGCTAGCCTCCCCCCCAAATCCCTCTCCCTCATAAACTCCTCGTGAGATGTGATCCATGCTTATCTCGGTGGCTGTTTGTTTTTCGGGTGGATTAGGGTGCGCATCGCCAGCCCAGTAGCTTGGATCGAGCTGCACTCCACGGTCCCCTATGCCTCATTCGTTCAGTCCACTCTGTGATGTCGGATTGCGCAGAGGGATGAGGAATCCCGCTGTCCTGGGTCCTTGGGATCACTCTTGGCGTGGACCCAGTAGCGAACTCTCTCTCTCTCCAACCCAACAGTCGGAGAGACTGAAGGAAAGCTTTTCAGAGGCCCAGTCCCAGTTGCATAGAAATATGCCGATTTCTAAACAGAGACACTGTGAGGCATGGTCTCGATGTCTCAGACAATTTATTAAATAACTACGAAACCAGAAGCTATTAACGAAGGTAGTGCAGGAAAGTTTCGATAGAAGAATCTCAGATTGCTTCGTTTAAGACGATTTCCCACGATTAAATGTTCTGCATGATTCAGTTGAAAAAATTGTGGTTGTCTTTTTACCCAATTTATATTTACGTGGAATTTCGTTCGTATTCACGGAAAGTGTCCAAAACTCCTGACCCACACCATGCATCGAAGTCAAAAAAATCCGGCATGGTTTTCACACACAAAGCCTGGCCAAGTCCACGAGGGAAACGACAGGCGTGTGAATGCAAGTTGAGGAGCATGCGAGAATAAGTTCCTTACTGCTCAAACCTGTGGCAGCGGCTTTAATGTGGGCCTAGACTAGTTCCACAGCCCCACAAGCGCCTTGTGTGTTGAAATGGGTGGAAGGCATCGGCTGCCGAAACGGTATTACGTCTGTAACTCTTTTCGTTTGTGTTGCCAATCGCCTTGATGCCGAAGCTTCGAGCTTATCAATGCCGGATTTAAGGGAACACTTGAAAGTATCAAACGCTCTTCACCGATCTGCAACCCCAGTCATTCATTAGTGCGGTGGCTTAGACTATGGCTTTGACTTAAATTGCAAGCTGTGAGGGGATCAATTACGCGATTCCAGAGTTTCAAGGAGATAAAGAATGTGTTGTCGTTTCTTTCGTTCTTTTCTATCTTCCTTCTTCCTCTCACGATCAGATACCTCTGATTAAAATAGAAACTATCCCACGCAAAAAGTTCATGCGATTGGAGGAGAAAATATCATAAACCTTCCCGTGTCCTAAAAAAGGATGACTTCATTGTTCTGGTGTTGGAAAGCTCTGATTCCAATTCCAAATCTTGGAGTGGCTGTTTCGTCCATTCAATCATAAAATCCTTATTTGAAAACGGTGATCACAATACGAAAAAAGGAGATAGGTAACCTAAAAAATTCACTTTGGCATCATAATTGACTAAGCGATGGTGTACTAAGATTCTAGTCGTGGGATTATTTTTATCCCGATTTTATTATGCTTCAATTCGCCCCCAACTAAGGAAGTAAAGCTCATTCTTTGTAGGTTGTCGACTATTTTGAAATTAATACTAGGGCTATTTCGTGCTAAAATCCAAAACAAAAGAGGTGGCTGGCGTGGAAGGTTTCAATTACCTCTCCGAAGCATGAAATTCATGCCAAGACACCATTTATAACCGAGCATACATTGTGATGGGTTATGATGGCTCATCCACTGTTTCTCGCGAAGTTTGACTTCAAAGGAGCGTATTACGGCGCCAACTGAAAACTGCACAGCACACTTCGACGACGTTCAGTCCAGCTCCGATTCTAGGCTTCGCGATTACGTGGTTTTAAGGACCCCACACACGACAGCTGCGATGATCCTTTTTAACAATGAATTAATGTGAAATAATGAACGTGCTGGAGGGTATGTATATGTTAGATTCTCATCGAGGACATTCATTATTGTTCGTTTCTAAAGCATGGCATTAGTGTAAGTTATGCCTTCTGCAGAAAACTTGGGGGAAATTGTTTAGCACTTGTTCCATGTGTGCTAGCGTTTAAGAACAATGAAACAGGAGTGCAGCTACTACGAAACCAGACGAGTGAATTAAAGTAAATCATACAAATTCAGTACATTTCAAAAAGTATTTTTCCTTCTTTCTCTGTTTCCTTCATTTTAACAATGCTTTCACACAAGTATTACGATGCAGACTGGACAGTGCAAAAACTTCACTCAGCAACGAAAAACGTGTAAGTCACACAAAAAAACTCGTTTACTGGACACCCCATTATAACCGCGTGTGACGACCATTTCGGCACCAGTTCAAACGTAACCTCATCCACAAAATTGACCACATATTACTCCTCGACAATACCAGCCTGGCATCTCATCACATCATTATTCCAAAATTGCTTGCCAACCTACTCAATTTACAATCGCTTCTTACCATCTGTAATCCGTGCCACCAAATATCAAAACGCACTGCACCAGGACGCCAATGTACATCTTCCTCGCCCTCCACACTAGACTAGTCTCCCAGCAATTGTCAACTAACCTACGCTCGTCAAAATCTTTGCTGCGAACCGTCGCGTGCTTGCCAACATCACCACCCCTATAAACCTCCTCCCACAGACCCTCCCACCACTCTACCTTCCGCCAAAAACATTTCACAAATTGGCTTGTGAGCATCTATTCCACTGCGCACCTTTGGCAGCGAGTTCCGCTGACTCCCTCTACCAACTCTCTTAGCCCTGACACTGCACCTACGCTACTCGGCACTACCACATCCTGTAACCCTCCACTACTACTAACATCGCACCACTAGGCAACTCAGATGCATCCCCGCTGCCTCACACCCAAGCATTTGCCCGACTTCGCTTCGCCCTTCCGCACCCTCGCCCATCCCACCACCACCTCTGCTCACGCCGGAGCGGCCGCAGGCGCACCGTTACCACGCCCACCCTGCGCCGCACCAGGGTTGCGTCTTGGTGCTCTTTGACCTTCGCCGCGACGCTCTCCCCCGCCGTATGCTGCCGCACCACTGCCGTTCGAGTTAGGGTACCCTCCTCGCGGAGCTCCGGACCCGCGCCCGCCCCTGCTGCCTCCGTCTCGCTCCCGTGACTCTTGCCCCATGCCACGACCGAAGTTTCGCCCACCGTATGACCCGCGTCCTCTTCCCCCTTCGCCTCTGTCGCTACGATATGGCCGCTCGCCTCTGTTGTCGACCGAACGCCTCGGCGCTGCAACCAACGCGACCACGCTGTTACCCACCACATCCAACTAGCTACCCCTCATCTCGAACCCCTTCCCTGACCACTCACCCAACCAACACAACCACACCCACGATATCCGCCTTCACCCAGCTGCACTACATGTGTCCGACGTACCTCGTCCCATGGGCTTCTTCTCCTCGATGTACACTGGACGCTCACGGATTTCCACACCAGAAGCCTGCGCACACACCCACCATCCCAAATCAGAACCCTTCCCATCACAACCAGACGGCACGTGCTCAAACCATACATGCGTGCACATTCTAACCCCTTCCCCGTCACGACACCGCCAACCTCCTCACCCCAACTGCCTCCTCACCACCGCATGCATTCCTCAAACTCACCTCGATCGCACTCTGAGCTCCACTAACTTCCTCGAACTCCACAAAAGCGTAGCATACACCCTGCCGCATACACCCAACCAAACCATCGTCAGTACCACCCATACACCTCAATAACAGCATCCCACTCGCCTCACCAACTATTCCTCGTGTCCGAAACCACCCCTTGCACGTTCCATTCCAAAATCCCCTCTTTCACATGCACCAGGCAACCACGCGTCATTCACCACGTCTTCATGAGACCAACCTTCTGATTCTTCACGTTCACGCCGCCAGGTTTCACCGCCCCATAGTTGCGCAGCACCTCCTCTAGCTCTGGTGCCGTGGTGTTCATCGGCAGATTCTTCACGTACACTGACCGCCCGTCAGCTGCATCCAAGCATTAGTCAGCACCCATAACGCCTCCCCGACAACTGCTCCAACCCATGCCCGGCCATGCACATCCGCCCCATCCTCTCACCATCCTCTATTGCCCGCTAACAAGGAACACTCACTACCACTCTCGTCCACTTCCACCACCCCGCCGCCTAGCATGTCCTACAAATACCTCACCACATGCCATCACCTCATCCACCTTACATCGCCTCGTCACAAGATCATGCCGGACACATTTTCTCCAACAAACCTACTCTCCACTCCGCCTCTACGACATGCTAATTAGCCGCCTCTCCACTCGTTGGCGCAACAATCCCATGCTACACTACCCCCTCTTCTCACGTTCATCCCCACAATTTTGTCACCACACACCTTCGTTTTCCACAGGTGCGCTCTCTTCCTGCACTTCCTGTGAAGGAGCTGTCGCAGGAGCTGGAGATGCCGTTGCACTGGCTGCAGGACGTTCGGCCGGAGCCTGAGGCGCAGCCTTCGGAGGCGGTGTTCCGATAACTCTCAGCTGCACAAGCCAACCCGAGGCAACATGAGCCAAGTCTCACCCACGCATTCACTTATCACCGATCCACTATGCACACCATACACCTCCACACATCAACCACTCCGTCACAACCAGGTCGGGCTCATGGAATCCCACTCACAATAGACGCGTACGAGTGCTTCTTGGGTGCCTCCCCACCACTCTCGGCCTCATTCACTGCCGAAGACGGGGCGTCCTGGACCATCGGCGATTCCGGTTCCTCGATCACCGGTGTAGTCGTGTCTAGAACTGGCGCTGAGCCGTCCTCGCCCTCGCCTTCACTTTCTGCAGTCTCCGAGTGCACGCGAACCTCCTGGACCATCGTCTCGCTCTCCGAAGAAGAGGGTGAAACCTCCCTCACCAACTCGGGTTCCGGCGCCGAAGCCTGTTGGTCCGCAGCTGCTCAGAACCCCAACCGCACAACAACGGGTCACTACGTGCAACAAAACCCTAGCTAGCCGACTCCACGATCGCTACCACTACCATAACATGCACCACTGTCGTCCGAAAACGCCCGCTGCTCACCTGGCTCGGGAACGGGTTGGTGAACGACTGCTGCCTCTACGTTAACGCTCGGAACGCTTGGCCCAGTCTTTTCCTGCGGAGTAGCGTCGTCCAGATAACGGAGGACGTCATTAAGCACGAAGTACCCTTTCGCCTGTGGAGCCAAGAAGAAGCTCTGCACGAAATTCCTCTTCCCACTGGAACTCGTGGACAGCGACCCCGTCACTAGAACCAACACTCCACCATTCAGCGAGTCCTGAGAGTCCACGGTCTTGATTTCTGCCTTCAGTTGGCTGTAGTCCAACGACATCACTTTCTGGTGTATTTCCTGCAACAACCATGCCTCACGTTGTTCAGACCTCCGGCGACCGGCGACCATCGACACGACAACAGTTTTGTCAAACCCTCCAGCACCATGGTCGTGTACAGCGCAGTTCCACCATGAGCAAGACACCATACACGGTGGGCACGTCGTTATCCCCAAGAACCACAAATCGGACAGCAAGAGAGCCGTCGTTCAACTATTATCAGCAGTAGTAATTCCTATTCGTGCGAACAGGAAAACAGAAACCCCTCGTGTTCTAGACGCACAAGATTTACGACGATCTTGTTTATCACACCCTTCCTCATCGAGCTACTTTACGAAGTGCGTGACCAGCAGGAGTACGTTAATTCCTAAGAATACTGCTCACCTTTTGAGTGAAAACGGTGTCCACGGCACCATCAGCTCCTTCTTCGGCCCGAGTCAAGCGGCTGGAGTCGGTGTAAAACCGATGAACCACTTGTGGTGACTGATGAAGGACGGTGTAATACTGGTTCACGAACGCATTCCCCACCTACACCCCACACACCGAGTAAGTAATGTTCAGTTCACAAACGCCGACACTCTACATTTCTATCCATGTGACCCACCACCACAAGCCAGGGGTCATAGTATAGTGCACCATCACCCACGAACACACCACGTGCTGAAACAGAGAAACGGGGAGTCGTCCGTAGAGTGGGTATAAGTGTGAGCCCTGTGGACTAGGTGCAGTCACCGACACTTCAGTGTCTCTTTCGGCTCCTCATCAATCACACCCGCACAATGCTGCAAGCCTAGGACAAATATAAAAATAGATCGTCGAAAGAGTCTGAAAAAATCAAAACCCAAGGTAGCTGACGTATCTTACCACATGTGCTGTAGCAGGGATTTGTATGGGAGCATTCGCAGAATGGTTCGCCATGGTTCCTGCAAAATGTATTTCGAACGGGACACCTGCTTAGTAAACATGAAACCATTTGAATCACGCATCCTTCCAAACAAGAGGACCTACTACGTTAATGCCGACCAGAGCCGCTGGGACCGCAATCCATCAAGGTCCGAACTCATGATAGTGAGTCAATTGTAACACTGACAGGCCCACAGCGCAGGCAGATTTTGTCGGATGTCGCGGGGTTTGTTCTTTGGACACGCCAGAAAGGCCTCTTACCGGCAATTTTATTTTCAGCATACAGAAAACTCAAGAACGGTTTTTTCCGAGATTCGTACAATCGTTCGCCCCAACTTTCTAGCTGAAAACGAAACATTTTCGAATGCATCATTCTAACAGCAAGAGCGTGAACATGAATGTGAAGGTCCGTCAAATGTGTGCACACTCATAGCAGAACATAGCTACAAGCTGACTTTGCATCGCCTTCGTTACCTCCACAAAGTTTATTATAGCCTGCGGCTCATAAAAAATCTTCTGCGTCGCTCGGTTGCAAAGTTGTGTACAACGAATGAGGATTAAAGTAATTGGAACAGTTCATGCTGCGATAGTATGGTGCTGTAGCTAGGGAAGTTTCATTGTCTGGAGGGTTCCGCAACCCAAACTATATACACACACCACAAACTCAAGAGAAAGGAGTACAATTATCAAAGGTCTGCTCCCAGTTTATGCGTAACAAAATACGGAGGTCCTGGAAGCACTTTAGTGTGACAGTCATGAGAATTCAAGGTAAAGTGCTTTGAATCTAAACTATCTAGGCGTATAAATCATCTCGTAGAACTCCGCAACAATCAGTCGCTTTGAAAATATGGCCTAATATGCGGCAACAAGTCCATACACAGCTATAACCCAGAAACACTACCCTTTCTTTTAATGGGGATGTGCAACCGGGGGTAAATAAATAATAACTTCTTTGAAGACACAATTTTTCAATCTCCACATACTTTCCAAACTGTCTTCCACCTCAAACAAACAATTAGGCAAAAGAGATGTACTCTGCGAGAAAATATTTCACATTAGGATCCAGAGAGCAATGTTACACTACCTGGTAACACACGAACACGGGGCCCACAATTGCCGTACTTCGATCTCCCCCTACTGCAGGAGTCGAAAGTGATGCCTCCGCCGCCAACCTCAAAACGCGGACTCCAAAACCCGCTCACAGCAACAGTGACCAAGCTGTGCCACGCCCTTCCGAAAGAAGACTCCAAGTCAGAACACCACAACCAATACAGCCACGAGCTTCAAGCTCCACCAAACCCTGCAACCGCCTCTGTGTCAGCGGAAACCGCAACAAGGAGCCGCAACCAACTCCGGCGCCAACAGTAAAATCCTCAGGCGTGGAAATAACCACCTGCAGCCAAGGCAGAGGGCGAGGTGGAGGGGGATGAGTGTGAGGGGATGGCGATGGCGATGGTGGAAGGAGATGAGATCCAAACCACGACAGCAACTCAACTGAACTCGTGAGGCTGTCGAGATGTTTTGCCGAAACCCTAACCCTAATTTTTCAACCCATTTTATTCAAAAAACGTGTGTCTCCATGGTCTTGAGGAACTTCACACTGTAGTTTTTTTCCTGGATTGGGTATTTAGTTCGGAAACTGGGTTTTCTACGTTACGTTGGATATGGAATTTCAGTACTCTGGAATTCAGAAAAAAACTAAAACACACATGAAGTGTGTATTGATCAAATACAATTCATTGTTTAATATGACTGTTTTGAGGGTTTGTTTTGAAAAACAGCTTTCATATATATATATATATATTCATATCTATATGCATATATACTGGTTCTGTTTGTTGTTGGACTTGTATTCATTAACGATGTAAAAAATAATATACTTCATATTCTCAAATATACATATGTTTGTGATTCTTACCTGCAAGGACATCAATATTTGCTACAAAATGAAGTATGCATGAATCAACATTTTACTTTTTACAGTTCAAATACATTGTCACTGCTTTGAAATTCAATCGTTGTTACTATGCAATAACTATGGTTGATATTCTTCTGAAGCAATCAAGTATTTTGTTGTATTTAAGTTCTGTGTGTTGATCCTTGATTTTTTGTTGGTGGCAATTGAAAAATAGTTTATTAGAAGCTGAATTAAAATTTATAAAGAAACTTTAATCATTTGATTTTGATTTTTGGTTTTTGGTTTTTGGTTGTTTAGAATTGCATTGATATATATATATATATATATATATATATATATATATAATTTATTACCTCTTGTATATTTAAAGGTTCTTGTATTAAGAAACATAAAAAACCATAGCTCTCTCTCTCTCTCTCTATATATATATATATATATTTATATATAATTCAAATACTTTTAAAGAACAGTAAAATTGTTTAAATAATTGAATTACACTCTTTGTTGTTTTTGTAATACAAAATAATTTTTGTTTCACCAACTTTTTGAAGGTGTTTTTTATTTTATTTTATTATTATTATTTTTAAAGACTCTATAATTTTTATTTGAAAAAAATAATCTGACTATTATTTTAGATAATGATAATAATATGGATTATCATCCATAAAGTTTGTATTTTATGATTGTCTTTTGAATTCAACTAGATAACTCCAAAGACCAAAGACTTAAAATTTGTAGTGATGACTTTCAAAAATAAAAAGGCTTGTATTAAAAAATTATTAACATATTTTTAATAGTTTATAGAAATATTATTAAGTGAAATAACTTAAAGCAATTGCAATATTCACACCATATTTTTATATAATGTAACAGATTTATTACTTAAAGTATAATTATATAATTAATCATATGATAAATTTAAAAATGAACCTGAAACCTTGGCTCTCTCCTGTTCCACAAATCAATACACTTAATAATAGTAACAGCATAAAAAAAAATACAAAAAAATTCAATACATTTATCAACCAATCTTTGTTGAAAAGCTTGGTTGACTCTAAAATGTTTTTGATTAAATTAGTATAAAAAATAATTATTTAATTAATTGATTGATTGATTGATTGATTTATTTATTTGTTTGATGTTCATAAAACAATGGCATAATTAGATAACAAATGCTAAAACATCAAACTATTGATGTAAAGATAAAGATATAAATAATGATAATAAAAAATTTATCATAAGCATTATTGATTTTTATAACAAATGTAGTTACTTTTGTCTTTAAAAATTAACCTCCTGTCCTAGCACCAAAAGAAAATAAGTATTTGGAACTATGAGTTTTTATAAAAACTATCTTTCAAGGTGGCCATGTTATAAATTTTGGAAGATAACAATGTTCATGCTATGTAAAAAAACTAAATTCATTCTATCCCATCTTTTTCACTTACATATTTAGGAAAGATTTTTCTAAGTATAAATGCAGCTAAGTGGATCTTCTTATTAATAATTGTTGTTGCAATGGTTGTATATATTGGCACTTGTACATGATGTTGCAACATGTCAAGATGCAAGCATATGTGGTATGAGAAGAGTGAAAAAATATTACACTTATTATTAGCTTTTTTCATAGTTTAGACATGAGAGGCTACATGATTAGTTGGGAGAAGATATCTTGTGGTTTTGTAGACTAGTTTTTATTATAATCCACTACTAAAAATGTTTTTAAGAACAAGACTTATATTTTATACATCACTTATAAGTTTTTGTATAATAAATTAATTCTCATAGTTTATATATATATATATATACTGCTCAAGGAGACAAGTAATGGTTCTCATTTGATGCATGGATCAATCTTTGTTTTCATCAAAATAAATTACATTCTATGGGGTTCACAATCTATTTTACAATTCATTGGTCTTTGTTTTCATCAAAAAACTTAACATTGTTTTACCATTGATCATAGGGCAATCACAGTTGATCACAAGGAGTTTCACATTGGAGCGGCAAGAAGGGCATGCAATGAGGGATTTTGTGTATATCTACAAGGATGAACACTCTTTTGGTCTCAAGGAGGGTGATGTTTTTGCAATCTTTGCTTAGTGAGTTTTTAGTAATTTGATGACTTTGCATTTAATCACTCAATCACTTTACATTTGATCACAGCAGGTTGGGTTTTTTGATTTGTTTGTGATGGCAGTTTATGGTATAGCAGGAACATCTCATTCACATTTTAGTATTGCTTTTTGTCCCACAATGTAGGCCTCAGTCCATGTGTCAAGCCAGTCACACATGTCTGTTTGTTATGCTCTTATTAAGTACAACTCTTACCATGGTTTTTGTGTGTGTGTGTGTGTGTGTGTTTTATTTTTATTTTGTTTGTTTTGTTTTTTTTCCTAGGTTGCAGAATAGGGCCTCTCCTTCATCGTGTGAGCATTCACTTGTTATGATGTCTTGCAATTGCTTCATGGTTTCGGTATTGGTTTGTATGGATTGTAGCTAAGTCTGTTTCTCTTGCATATTTTTCTTAAAGTTTGCTCTCTTGCTCCCTTGATCTCAATGTTTTATGTCTTTATACAGAAGATGGATGGATCAATTGATCCATTAATAAGTCTGTCTAGATATGGACAAATGCCCATGCAGTTTTTTTATATTAGATTCTACAATGTGGCCCTATCTAAATCAAACATATATGAATAATGGCATTGTAGGTTGTTGATTGAGAATCACTTCTTTGATATGCAAGTGCCCCTCATGGCTATGAATACTCGATGATCCATTGAAATGGGTCACCCAAAGATTGTCGCATCCAACAATGTCCCAAATTTAATCACAATTTACAAAGGATGATAGGCTTTAAAGTGGGGAATATGAGAAGACTGTTACAATTGAGTTGAATATGATTTCTGTTTTCACAAAGATTTTAACTATCAAACCACTTAATTTACCAGCAGACTAATTGACATTATAGCTCATGCATTGCATGGAATTTACAATCTGGATGGATTACAAAGGATTACTATATCAAGTGTATCTATGTGTAATAAATAAAAAAATTTAGTCACTTTTTCCAAGCTTTTTTCTGGCTGCAAGTTTACATAATCAAACTGAGTACTCAATGTCTTTATCCATCTTAGCATGCTTGGGCAGAGTGTGGTGGGTGTTGCAAAATACCATGTTTTATATTATCATCTACTTTACCATTATCGTGTATCAATTATCATGTTTAATTACTAAAACATTAAACTTTGAACTTTTCAAAAATATAAGATAAATTGGCCTCGTAAAATGAAAACAAAACAATATATTTGGAATATTGAAGTCATGACCTTTAGATTAGCAATGGATAATAGTGATATAGGGATTTTTTAAAAAATAATTGAAATATTAATATTTATTAAAATATCCAAAAAATAAATTAGATTATATTTTAAACAAGACAAAAAACATCAAAATACTTTTTTTTTTTATTTCTAAAGAATTAATATCATACACATGCATATACAATACCTACATTCTTTAAATTTTTGTTTAATTTAAAAGTATATTATTTGAATTTTATTTCTTTCTAAAAATATATTAAAAATATTGAATAGTATATTTATTTACAAGCTTAATGAAAAAACAGTCATTTAGAAATTTAAAAAATAGAGTCATACATTTTATGACAATGATATGGATTAGCTAGTATGTATATAACAACACATACATACATGCATCCAAACATCTAGCTATAGAAGAATCATTAGGTTTTCATAATAAAAAGAATCTATTTGTAAAATATTTTAAAAAAATATTTTAACATATTAAAGTATAAGGTTTAAAAAAAATTGAATCTTTAAATCACAAATCTTATATAATAAGTGCTATAGATAGATCACATATTTTGACACTTGCTTAATTAATTGACATCAAAGATAATTATTTTTATTATAAACCATTCTATTTAACCTTGTTTCATGGTATTGTAGATGTATATTTTATCTCTTGGAATTATTATTTTGGATTAATGGATATTTTATATATTTGGATGATATTTTTATAAAAAATTAAAAATAAAATAAAATATAGATAAGTTAAAAAAACAAAAAAATATATTAAAAAAATATTAAAAAAATATTTAATAGTATTATGGATATAAAGTCTATTTAATAATTTAAGTTAAATTTTTCTACTATATGAAAAAATTTATAATTTTATCTTTATTTTCACTTGTGTGTATATAAAAATAATAAATGAGATTTTGAAAGATAGATGGAAGATAATTTTATCAAGACTTAAATTAAGTTAGAATACAAAAGAGGCCTTGTCAAGAATAAAGAAGTCATCACTCTTGCCTCTATATATCTATATATTAAAAAAAACTATGTTGCAATATTCTGTAGGCTACATAATACATATCTAACTTGAGAGACATATGTCCAAGTTGTAAGAATAGTCTCCAACATGTTTGCTTCATGACAAACTTGCAATATAAGTTACTAAATATGTGACATGTAGCCAACTTGTTTGAAAAGTTTGTCAATCTACCAATGACTTATAAACATATTATTGTATTTTTTTCATATTAGTATGAGAATGCATTAGGCATGTGATTGTAAAAGGATTTGATTTTATCTTGAA